AGTATTATTAAAAGTACTTACCGATTTTGTAACACCCTGTATATCGTATGAAGTGTTGCACTTTACGGCAAAAATGTACACATCGAGGTCAGGGTTGCACGATGCATTATATAGTGAATCCACTAATACTAGCTACCAAGTAAACAGCAAGGTTGCCACTTGTTTTGTTTTGGTCGCAAGTGCACTAACGAGCTGCACGCTCCAGTTAACCCGTTTAGAAATATCTTAAAATCTGTCTGTCCGTGTTTAAATATGTATTTCGTTTGTTATGTATTTTCTTGTTGCAGACACGCGATTATCATAGTTTCGTTGGCTTATGTAAAATAGTTCGCATTTTTTATTGCGTACTTTATTCAATAATACTGATATTATAATGTATTACATACTATTTGCTTGGATTCGGCGTATCAAGGTGAAACGTATTCCAGATTTTAAGTTAGACCTTGAGGAATACAACTGTGGAAATCATATCCAATTTTGTGAAATAGTTTTTGCGTGATGTTAAAACAAATATACAGACAGACAAGATTTATAAAAATTATTTTTTTGGCACCTTTTTTTTTTTAAACATGGGGCAAACGAGCGTGCGGCTCACCTGATGGTAATAAGTGACTACCGCCGCCCATGATCACCCACAATCTTTTGGTCTTATTGAAACCCTTTATATATATATATATTTTTTTTATATTACACATTATAGATATTTTCCAATCTACAATTTTATTATATTAGTAAGATGATGCGTTTACGAGTACACATATACATTCGAGAATTCATTTTCGTTTACGAGTATGTAAATAAATTATTTCGATTGCTTAATTTCACGCACTGCAGTTTCACAGCAGAGAGAGAGAGGCACGTAATTATTCTGTGAACATGTCATTTCACGCCTCATATTTGAACCGACGGCCCCTGTTGACATCTTATAGACACATTTAAAATGTTTCACGTTCTACAAATAATTAGTCGATGACAGAATGAATTGACGATGTTTATAGTACCGCGGTGATATTGTGTAACTCACCTGTTTTTTTTAGTAATAACAACGCTGTGCTAACAGTTATAAATCATGTATTACTTATTTTTTAATGTACATAAAAAGTATTATCTTTCATTCTCTCTCTTTTCATTTAAGAGTTTCCTCTTGTCGGTGCAATTAATTCATGCATTCTCTTCCAGCTAGCTCTATTACAGGCCATGTCTCTGACCTCTCTATACGACATGACATCTAGTGTTTCCTTTATCTGTTCCATGTAATTATTCCTCGGCCCTCTATTTTTCCTTATAGTATGTTCTTTAAAAATTGTCATGTATAAAATGACCTAGAATTTTGGCTCGTTTATTCTCTATTGTTTTTTCTTTTAATGTTCTTTTCTCATTCATCCTTTTCAAGACTTATTCATTCGTTACTTTTTTAGTCCAGCTTGTCCTTTCCATTCTCCTCCATGTCCTCATTTCGAATGCCGAAAGCATTCTAAAAGGCATTATAGTCGAATATAGTGTACAAGGGCGAGCTTATTTCTAAAATAGATTTCTTTCAGCAAATTTAATATACTTACATGTTTTTTTTTTATGGACGACAATGGAATGGTAACCCCGCCTGCTCTATCAGTATACCATGGATACATTGATGGATTATTGTTACTTACGGACGTCAGTTATTTGCTTTCAGCTTGTTTGTTTCACAGGAATCCCATTAATATTTTGAAGTACTGAAAATTAACGGAATTGTTCTGGTGTTATTTATTTGTAATGCCTTAGTCTGTCTGGGAACCATCTAAATATCTTATCAACTGGATTGAAATTTTATCATTCTGTTATCTTCATACTATATTAAACTTCTGTCTAAAATAAAAACTATACTTGACAAAAATCGATTTTATTTCTCGTCTCGTCTCGTTGTTTCATAAATAGTTTAAAAGTTTTTTTTTTCTTAAATCGCGTCTAAGAGATGTCGTCGTCTTGGTCATCAGGGTATTTGTACTTCGCAAAAGAAAATAGTTGCGAAAAAATTACTGGAGTGTTTTCTTTTTTAATTTGAAATTATACTCGTATTAAATTGACATGAATGTGAAATCTCAATTGTCCTTTTTTATACCTAACGATTAGAGTCTTTGAACTTTGCATATACTTATTATATGTCAAGGAAAGATGTCAACATTATGTCCTCTGTCACGAACAAAGTTTTTGGTGAAAACTAGTATTAAATAAACACACCGACCGGTTTGACTTTATTATGGCGATATCTAGGCACCATTATGTAACGAAACACTATGCTCTATCAATTTAATTAATAGCACCTTGATAATACCATAAAAGGGCGAGCCGGTCGGCGAGTTTATTCAGTATCTAATAGGTACGTAGGTACATAGCTATGTTATGAGTAATGAAAAATAATTTGTAAATCAAAATTCAGGGTCATCCTACCTAGCGCCCCTGGGCAAGTTTTTGTCCCTCTGAGGATGAAAAAAATTGAGGTCATCATCACGCTGTTCACTCCTAAGTCGAATTTAATGCGATCCTATTTTAAACTTTAAATACCACCTTTATTAAATTCTAGATAGAACTTCTCTTACATTTCTGTACTCCTTTTAGACTTCGGTGTCCCTGTTGAAACGCGGTTAGGTTTAAAGCACAAGGAGAGTATATATTTTTTATATTATTAATTTTATATGGTAAACGATTAATTGATGACTTGTCTAATGGGCATTGTACTGGCATGAAAAACTGTTATATGAATATATTGTCATATTCTGAGATGTCTTTGAAGTTTTATCAATTGTCTACAATCAATAATTCATACACATATAATGAACACATAGATGAAACCGCGTGCAAAAGCTAGTAGAATATAAATTGTTGGCACACAAACATGTATAATGTTAGCTGTCGAAGAGAATGCATTATTTCAAACTAAACAATAGTCATAATGTTAGCAACGTTTCAAAGCTTTTATTACAGTGTTGATACGGTCAGATGTCAAACTCACGCGGTGGCTTTCAAAAATTGCTTGAAATGTATCGCATTTGTTCTTTTCCATAAGAATTTGTAAATGTTTGGATTTTGGTGTTTTTCTTTGTTCCATCTGTGCCAGTTTTTAAGTCGATGCCAGTCATATTTATTGCTAAAATAGCCAGCCGCCAAAAAGTTTATAGCTTTAGATAAAAAATAATTGAGTACATCATCATCTCACTAATTCGTGATAAATTTGATACATTATCATATTTGCATGTTAATTACTGCACTACATATATATTTTGTATACTCCTGGCAATGACTGATAAGCTTATTTGAGAATATTAACTATCATCTATGGAATAACATCATGAGCATCCGAGCGACAACCTCGGTATTAGGCATGGGTAATCCGGATACCGATCCTGTATCTATGTATTGAGCTCCACTGGACATTGATAGCCGAAAAATGGTCATCACCCATTTCGATTTGGCCCATAACGGTCGGATATTTATTTTCGATTGTATTGTCTGTTATTCGATATTATTTTTTGAAAAACTGACTTTTCGTTATTGGACCACTAATAGATATTGCAACTAACATATATAAATATTTCTATATATTATCTATACCTACTTAGTATCCTTTATGTGTTACCGCTTCTGAGAATTAAGATGTTAGGCATTGTATCAAATATGTACCCCTTTTTACAGAAACACGACAAAGCAATCTGCAGATACCCTTCAAACTTAAAGCGTACGCGTTGCTATTTCATAGTAGAAATAGGGGATACGTTATTTACATAAATTGACGATTCCCCCTGAACTTTACCGTATATTATTTTTTTAAATTCATGTTGCTTCGATACTACATAGTAAGATGGAAATCATTAGCATACTTGTAAAAAAATCGAGAATTGAAACTCACCATTATTAATACAGCAACATTATGTCAAGAAAAGACAATAAAATGGACGCTTTTTTTTGTGTGGGAGGCCCAAAATTTCGAATCATGTTTATTTGGGATACATGTTCAGTTTCGCTGTTTCTGCTCCGTTGTAGAATATTATTTTATATCATATCAGAAGGTGGGAAACATTACAATAATATTTGGTTAAGTTCATTGATTAATATCGAAAACCCCGTTCAGAAGTTACAAGATTTGATGCGAACGGTTCATTGAACTAGTACAAAAAGTCGATCCAACGTTCGAACTGATTGCAGGTAACGGTACAGAAACACGAGACGGCGAAATTACATCTAGTTTTACACCACTCTAATTATGTTTGTGCCATTTACTCCTCTGTACTCCATTAATAATATAACGTGTCTATAGGCGACGGTTATTGCTTGCTATTATGAGAGGTGCAAGCTCGTTTGCCATAACGAGTAATGTGCCCTCTATATATACACGTCTTACTCCTATCCACTTTTTTTGGGCACACGCATTTCGGCTACTTTTTACTTATCCCTTGTGTTATGTGTTTGCAATATATATGCAATATATTATACAAAATCTAATTTTAAACCCGCCATTTCTTGTCAGGTTTTTTTTTATTCTTCGATAGTTTATTTCTTTTCTATAATTCCGAAATAATACTCCGTTCTATTACATCCGTTGGCTTTTTCTAAAATATTCCGCCATCAAACACTATGTAAGTACGATCTGACTAATTATAGTAGTTTATTTTAGATCTCCCAGTGCTTTCGTTAGTTTACATTTACATTCTATCGATTTATCATTGTTACATCCTATATTCTTTCTAGATATCTGAATCACTGCAAGAAGTAGATATGAGAAATCTGACTATTATTGAACCATTTGCAGCATTTATTTAAGAAGTCGTAAAAACAGGATCTGTCAATAACAATTTGACAGCCTGACAATCAATCATAAATGTCAACTTATAAATTGAAGAATTTATTGTATTAATTAAAATGAACAATGAATTTATAAAAAAGTAAAACGAGATTTATATCAATCTCCTTAAAAAGATAACTTCTGCAGTCCATTATTATTATTTATTCTTTATTGCACAATAAAATTTTGTACAAATTATGTATCAGTTGTATGTATTTTTTGTTCATATAGTTCATAATGTTTGGTTCCAGATTAATATTTATATTTTGACGTCAAAAGTAAATAAAAACCAGCGTTTGGATCTAACCAGGATAAATTTTTGAAGGAATGATTCTTTAAAACTTTTTGGTCTCTGGCACTGGGTATTCATGATTATCTTTTGATATTTCATTTCGATGTAAGGAAATCTCAGTAAGTATTTGGTTTGAATATATATTGGTACTCTTTACCTTAACATGATCAGTTAGAGGTTATGAAGTCATTTGCTGAATCTCTTCGCCAACTATTTTAAAACGCTTGTTTTATCATCTATTCTATTTATAAATAGAGAAATGGCTTTAAGACAAAAACAAACAGTTGTAAAAGTTGTGAGCACTTGTTCAAAAATGGATTATATTACGCAACTAACAACACAGACATAAAACATTCGAGGACACCAATTAGATGTACAAACATTTGCTAAATCAGCTTTCTCATTGCTGTACCTGAATTTGGATGCTGTTGAGTCATGCATTCGATTTCCTCTATTCTTGACTTGAACGTGTTGAGTCATTTTAAACAAGAATGTTCAAGTTTATAGATTAACTCTAATTTACCTGAGAAAAAAAAAACAGATTATTAAAATTTTTATATTGTAAGTAATTTTGAGTTTATTTATAAAAAAATATACGACGAAAGCGTTTATACATTTAAGGATTTTAAAGAAATTATGATCAGAATTGACCTTATTGTTAACCAAGAAAATCTTTCACAAAAAAGTATTATAAATCGAAGCTAGATAAATCTGTGTAAGCCATCTGTTTATGTCGGAAAAAAAATATATTACTCATTTACGACATAAATTTTGACTGGGATTTTATTAAGTTTTCACAATCTTACAGTTATAATTGTAATTGAAATATCTAACGGATAATATTCATTATCAATTTCAACTACGACGGTACCTTCAAGTGGACCTTATGCTAAATTGACACTCGCATAAATAAAATGCAGTAAAGCTATATCCTTACAATATTTTCGAAGAGATACGACATAGAGACTTTCATGAAATTTACTTCTGCAATTCTATCGATGATGCAAGTGTTAAATGATGCAGGAATAGTCGCTCATCACCAGGTCAGCCGCGTACTAAGTTGAAGTTGTGTTAAGACGTAAAAAAATCTATCACCGAAATAAATATAAAGGTGAAAAAATTAAAGAAGTACATGATGTGTCATTTCTGGGTGTAACAGTGGATCGCTTCTGTAATTGGAAGGCTCATGTTTTTAAGGTGTGCAATAAACTAAACAAATTCGTATTTGTCCTTAGGCGACTTGGTAGAACCACAGATCAAAAATCACCGACGATAACCTACAGGCACATTTCATGTTCAGTACTATTATCGCGTTGCATTGTTATTATATCGAGCAATGAACTGTTGTTTTGTCACGATTTATTTGTATAACCATTTCGAAAATTGCTTTTTTTTTTAATAAATTATCAATTAGGTATGGTGTTCCAGGCGTCGTTTAGGGTGTGAGTGGTAAAAGTTTTTTGCTCTCATTCGCTATTCAATTTATACGCAATTGTTATTTAATTTTTTTGTTTTTGTTGCTACGTTGCCATAATCACTTAATAATTGTTTTACGCATGGGTTATGGAGAATTTTTTTCCGCGCGGTATTTATAATTATTACTGATATAATTATATGAAGCATAATGTAAAACTATCTTCCATATAACAAACTACTTTAATTTAAGGTTCGTAAAGGGCCAATATTGATTGCAAACAATTTGATTAAGAAAAAAATGATCTACTTTGATCATTAACTAACATTTAATTTTTTTTTATACAACTTAGAATGGCAAACAAGCTAACGGCCCACCTGATGGAAAGTGGTAATCGTCGCCTATAGACATGAGCAGTACCATGGACATAACAGAGTATACTGTTTCGCTCATGATACCCCGCATGCGTTGCCATTCCTGAGGACTCGGGTGTTATTCTTATGTACCCTGTAAATTCACGCCATATCCCATCCTTCAAACCGAAACACAGCCATGTAAACACGACTGCTTCACGGTAGAAACACGAATGGGACAGAGGTACCCAAGCAATCGACTTTTGTACAAAGTCTCCCTCTGGTAAAGTTGTTATGTTATGTTAGCCAATTACTGAATCTGATATATAGGTACGCATTTGTATACCTATACATCAGAAAAATTGAGTTGAATAGATAATATCCATTATGAAAACATTTATAGCAAACTTTTATCATTAATGGATCACAGTATCTTTTCTACGATTATACAACAGACGTGTTGTTTGTAGCGTAATATTTTACGTTGAAATCGACTCGAAAATAATCACAATGCAGACTCTGTAGTACAGTCACAATCCCGTAATTCTATTCTATTACACCACGATCTTGTTCCTCTCACAATGTACATGTAATTTGTGTATGTCACAACACAGTTTTTGCTTACATATTATTTACGGCAATTTCGCACGTGACATCAGAAATGTGACAATTTCGTGTATCGTAATATTTAACAACATGTAATAAGTAATTTTACATAATTATATATTATTTTGTTTGTTTTGTATTGTTTGTATTAGATAAAGTCTTTGTGACGCGTATCTAAAGTGATACTGTCTGGCTGGTGCCATATTAAGGTTGCCATTTTTGAGGTTAATGAACTGACTGTTATTGTTTTTTCTTTATATTTAAACTTCGAATGATGTTACGAAATATCAGTATGCGTTGTCTGAAATTGGTAATTTAATTTGAGAGATTTTTTTAACTGCAAAATCATTACCTTCTTAAGACTATCTGAAGGCGTATTATGGCTTTATTTTTTGGGGTTAATGAACAAATCGTAACTTTGTTATCCGTGAAGTTATTTTATCCATGTAATAGATACAATAGAAATACTTTTTTTTGCGTGAAAATCTTCATGTTTGCGATGATAGTCATATAAAGGCAATTAGTAAAGTTTTGAAATTTAATTGGCTTACTTGACTCTTTGGTATTCTTAGATACACCACGATTTAATTTCTCTTCGAAATGTTCTAACTTTGCAAGAATAACTTTTAATTACATTCAGCGCTGATTTCTTAGTTGTTCAAGGCTTCATGAGAATTCTTCGATAACCCTTCAAAATGTTTATTAATTAACCAATAAAGTGTTGTTATTGGTAAACTTTAGATTGCTTTATTGAACGCGATAAGTTTTGTAAAGATAGGTTTAATAAAATCTATTTTAACTGAGTTTATGCTTGTGTCTATAAATAAAATAATAAACCATAAAAAATCATAAAGTTATAAAAAGACTCGTGACCACAGAATATAGCTAACCACAGAATAGTGTATGTAATTGGTTTTAAAATAATTATATGCTTAAAATATCGCCAAATGATAACAAAAATACCATCACAGTTAGTTACCTACTACAAAGTTTTTATTAGGCATCAAGCATCAACTAGCATCAGTCATGTCAGCGTGTTTCATAATTTTCTGAGTAGAATCGAAATATGACTCTACTCAGACAACTGTACAATGTTTAATTCAGCTATTTGTGAGCGATGAGCCTCATCGCTCACTAAATAGGATTTAACGTATACAAAGGTTCGATAGAATGTTAAAGCTAAGGTACATTCTTTTAGTTGTTTCTAATGCAATATACCTATTGATATAATATTACGCTCGTAGATCATATGACTCATTTTAGATTTCTCATATATTGCACTTTTTTATTGACGACGTTATTAAAATGTTACTTTAGATCCTCAACAAATATTAATAATACTACAATTATAATTGAAATATACACAATTTATATTACTTGGAGTGTCTTTTCCATTCTTGGCTTTGGTAAATTCGTCGATACCACGAGAGCATAGATTAAAAAAATATTACTTTGCTACAGGCTCAGTAATACTGTCCTTCTTTTCTCAAGCTTAAACGGTTGATTAGAAAATTGATTCTGATTACTAATTAGCTACAATGAGTCTAGTTTATTCAACTCTGTCGCATCGCTGAAAGTTAACAATACCCGACGTGAGCAATTTGTGTGGACTGCATACATTATTTATATGAAACCGGCACGTTTCCTGTCAACGCACTGTTGTATTTGATTTATTAAAGCCATGATTCATAAAGGATGTTCGTTTTAGTGATTTTGTATATTTTGAAATATTGGTTCGGATTCTGTGACGTATTTTGAATATATATATATATATATATATATATATATATATATATATATATATGAATAAAGTTAATGTTAAAGTTAATTTTGAGATTGTTTTTTTTGTTTTACTTTCAAATTTTAACGTTTTATCAATATGAGTATATAAGTGTAATATAATTTGGTTCCAAGCGAGGTAAAGGAAGAAGTATGGATATTTGTTCCTATTCAATGAAGGAACAGATTAGAATGACAAATGACACATAATTTAACTGTGTTCTAAATTCTACATGATTTATTATTCCGACATATCATTCACCATCTATTGTCAATCATAGACTTATCTCATATTTTCCCGATTTATCTTCAATATTTATTGTTCATGGAAGAAACTATAAATTGGTAATAATTGTATTAGTGTCGAATTAAAATTTGGATTCGCTTGTAATGCATGAAATGCGATTTTACGATATTTAATTAATATTCCGATTGTACCTATCATTTTCTGACTCGTAAATGGTGAGTTGCGATATTTATCGTTTACTCAGTGAAAGTACTTGCGCAAGAGTTGACATTCAGTTAACGGGATGGTGTTAACATCTCTTTACGATTGTGTAATGCGAGAAAGTTGTTCATTTTTTTCATTATTGATCGTGATTACTGATTACGTAATATCGTTATTTTATTCGATTAGCCCTTGAAATGATTTGTAAATGGAATTGCAAAATCGTATTGATTGTTTCACTATTTTTAGTTAGGTAGTTCTCCTTTTTTTTTTTAATTTTAGATTCGCAATGTATTATCTAAATTTAGAAGAGACGAAAATTTACTTGTTAAACAATTTCCAAAAGAAGTTGATTCTCAATTCTACTGTCTTTTTTGTGTTATCATCCCTTCCCTTACGTGGTTACAATAGACTCGATTACTTGCAATATTTGCTCAGTTCTTCTCAAGTAATTTAGAATTTTGTTGATAAAATGTCATGATAAGTGAAATCTTATCAAATTATGAAGAAATAGTTTAAAATTCGGTATTTTTCTTAGTTTTCGAATTTACTTTTCTAAATGTACTACTTCAACAATCTTTTTTAATTCTATTTATTATTTTATTTACAATGTCTTTTTTGAAAAGACAATTTCGTACATACACCCAAAAAGGTCTTATACTAATTAAAAAATAAATAAAGTTTTAATATATAGAAATATGTTACGTTTCCGGGGTTCAAATTCTCTTTTAAATTTCTAACATACACTTAGTTAAAGAAAAAAAAATATTATCATCTATCAATCAGTAATTATTTACAAACCATCAACAACCTTCCCTTTGTCTTTTTTCTCAATGTCCTCTACCTAAAGGTTGTCTGGAAGAAATTGCATATCGATAAGGCCGCCTTTTGTATGACTTTTTATGAAAATTTACTGTGTATTTATTATTTTGCAATAATGTTTAAATAAATAAACAAAATAGTAAAAATATTTGTCTAATTAAACATTAACGATATTGACGTAGTTTTTTGTTACTTTAAATAGAATTTATAATATGTGATTGTATCGAGGTTGAAACCCCGTTTATTTCAAGCAACTCTATAATAGATTTTTAATTTGTTTTACAATTTGCTCGGTATTAAAGTTCAAAGTTAGTAATTAACCTAAAAACCTGTTTCATAAAAGCCAATGGCATTTTAGTGGAATCTTTTGTCATGCCACTAAATTTAATAGACAATACCTTTCAGAGTACCATAACTCTTTGTAGGTTATAGGGGCAACGCCAGATATTTTAATGTTGGTAATCGTGTTAGCGATAAAGTTGTGATTGGATTGATAGATACGATCGTAAACATCACGGTTTATTGCTTAGATAAACATATTTATAATAGTGGGCGGTGTAAATAATTGATTTGACCACAGAGATGCGTTTAAATAGATGTAGTAATTGCATGTAATTTTCTTGTTAATTTTGATCCTAAAATTGGTACAATAGAGTCTGATTGACTCGGTCTAAATTGTTAGATTGTAAAATAAAATTGGAATGCTACATCGCCTGTGATAGTGCTATGTACGCTAGCGGGGTACCAGTGAGATATTATAGGTAATAAAGTAGTGAGCCAACTGCCCTGCAGTTGGCTCACCGGGACAAATCTATCATCATTATCTCATATATGGCGTGTTGCTAATAATGGGCACGTTAGTTCCCATAACAAATGTTCATCTTCCTCGAACTTTATTCGATTCGTGTATGAAACTTGTAAGAGATAGACAAAAGCAGCATTGCTGATTTTATTTACGAAATAGTTTAACAAAAGAGGAGTTTTGCTGTCAATAGGATTAGTGCGTCATACAATGAAATTAATGCCAAATTACCTGAAATTGATATAGTGTACGATAATTCGAATTCCTACATGAATAAATTGCTGAAGCACTTTGTACAACAATCTTATGAACATTAACTCTAATTGTCATAATATATATATTTTTTAATATTTTTTTTAATTTAATTTACTCATAATCTTATTTTCTGATTTTGCTTACAACTTAGATTACATGTTTATATTTGATATTTACTTAAATTTCTTACACTGTATAATTACGTTAAAGTGAATGCTGTGAATACCTATAATAGGCATGTGCATTAATATTGTATTGTATTTAATGTTGTTATACCTATATGTTATAATGCAATATGCTGTTGGTGTTCCTTAAATAAATAAATAAAATAAATAAATAAAATAAAATAAATAGTTTTTGTAACATCAAGACGAGTAGTTCAATAGTTACACGCTTAGTTTTCGTGTAAACTGAGTTATTTGCGGCATCTATCTTTATTTTGTCTGTGGATTTTACGGAATAAATTTTATTCTAACAACTTGATTTAATAATTTATAATTTTCTTTAACATTTCTATCTTGATTGATTTTGCTATTGTTATTGTTTACCTAATGTTATCGCTTATGTTTTTTTTTTATTTTTTTTAAAGACGTAGACAAGTAAACAAAGCAAAACATGTTTATGAGTAATTAGTGCCTACTGATTTTATAAATATATATACGTATATATAATAGTAAACATAATATAATCTATATATAGGTTTATACATTAATGCCACTTTTCGTTCTAATTTTATAACTCAAGAACGGGCTCACCTATCCAAACCAAAAGTTCAGGCTTTCTTCGGACTATTTAGTAGATGGTTTATGTGAAGTTTGCACAAAATCGGTTGAGCGGTTCTCCATTTATCACATTTTTTGTAACAAATGAATTCAATAAATGGCGGATCATTTTGTTTATGGGGATTTTTGTGTCAAATTCTAACTTTTTTTAAGATGGCGATTGTGCTGTCAAATTGAAACTTTTTTCAGTGTTGACAGTACAAA